CTCTGTAATAGAGTTTGAAGTCAGGGATGGTAATGCCTTCTGAAGTTCCTTTATTGTATAAGATTGTTTTGGCTATCCTGGGTTTTTTGTTTTGCCATATAAACTTGATTATTGTTTTCTCAAGGTCTGTGAAGAAGTTTGATGGGATTTTGATGGGGATTGCATTGAATCTATAGATTGCTTTGGGTAGAATTGCCATTTTTACTATGTTGATCCTCCCAATCCAAGAACAAGGGAGATCTTTCCATTTTCTGGTATCCTCCTCAATTTCTTTCATCAAAGACTTAAAGTTCTTGTCAAATAGGTCTTTCACTTCCTTGGTTACAGTAACCCCAAGATATTTTATGCTATTTGTGGCTATCGTGAAAGGTGATGTTTCTCTGATTTCCCTCTCTGCTTCTTTATCCTTTGGGTATAGGAGGGCCACTGATTTTTTGGAGTTGATCTTGTATCCTGCCATGTTACTAAAGGTGTTTATCAGCTGTAGGAGTTCTTTGGTAGAGTTTTTGGGGTCACTTATGTACACTATCATATCGTCAGCAAATAACGAAAGTTTAACTTCATCCTTTCCAATTCGAATCCCCTTGATATCCTTATGTTGTCTTATTGCTATTGCTAGAACTTCAAGCACTATATTGAAGAGGTATGGAGAGAGTGGACAGCTTTGTCGTGTTCCTGATTTTAGTGGAGAGGCTTTGAGTTTCTCTCCATTCAATTTGATGTTAGCTGTCGGCTTGCTGTATATTGTTTTTATTATATTTAGGTATGATCCTTGTATCCCCAGTCTCTCCAACACCTTTATCATAAATGGGTGTTGAATTTTGTCAAATGCTTTTTCAGCATCCAATGAAATGATCATATGGTTTTTTTCTTTCAGTTTATTTATATGATGGATTACATTGATAGATTTGCGTATGTTGAACCAGCCCTGCATCTCTGGGATGAAGCCTACTTGATCATAATGGATAATTTTTCTAATGTGTTCCTGGATTCGGTTTGCCAGGATTTTATTGAGAATTTTCGCGTCGATGTTCATGAGTGAGATTGGCCTGTAATTCTCTTTCTTGGTTGTGTCTTTATGTGGTTTTGGTATTAAGGTAACTGTAGCTTCATAAAAGGAGTTTGGCAATGACTCTTCTGTTTCTATGTTATGGAATACATTAAGGAGTATAGGTATTAGCTCTTCCTGGAAGTTCTGGTAGAATTCTGCATTGAAACCATCTGGTCCTGGGCTTTTTTTGTCAGGGAGATTTCTGATAACTGCTTCTAATTCTTCACGACTAACAGGTCTGTTTAGATTGTTCACCTGTTCTTGGTTCAACTTTGGTATATGGTACTTATCTAAAAAAATGTCCATTTCTTTTACATTTTCCAACTTTGTGGCATATAAACTTTCGTAGTAAGATCTAATGATTCTCTGAATTTCCTCTGTGTCTGTGGTTATATCCCCCTTTTCATTTCTGATCCTATTAATTTGCATGTGCTCTCTCTGCCGTTTGATTAGCTTGGATAGGGGTTTGTCAATCTTGTTGATTTTCTCCAAGAACCAGCTTTTTGATTCATTGATTCTTTGGATTGTTTTCTCTGTTTCTATTTTGTTGATTTCAGCCCTCAGTTTGATTATTTCCAGTCTTCTACTCCTCCTGGGTGAATCAGCTTCTTTTTTTTCTAGAGCTTTCAAGTGTGCTGTTAGGTCTCCAATGTGTGCTTTCTCCGTTTTCTTTATTTGGGCACCTATTGCTATGAACTTTCCTCTTAGCACTGCTTTCATAGTGTCCCATAGGTTTGAGTATGTTGTGTCTTTGTTTTCATTAAATTCAAGGAAGACTTTAATTTCTTTTACATATGTGGGTGCCTTTACATTAGGGGCATAGATATTCAGGATTGAGACTTCTTCCTGATGAGTTGTTCCTGTTATGAGTATGAAATGTCCATCTCCATCTCTTCTGATTGATTTTAGTTTGAAGTCGATTTTGTTAGATATTAGAATGGCCACACCCGCTTGTTTCTTAGGTCCATTTGCTTGGAAAACCTTTTCCCAACCCTTTACTCTGAGTAGGTGTCTGTCTTTGTGGTTGAGGTGTGTTTCTTGTAAACAGCAGAATGTTGGATCCTGTTTTCGTATCCAATCTCTAAGTCTGTGCCTCTTTATAGGTGAATTGAGTCCATTGATATTAAGAGATATTAATGACCATTGGTTGTTGACTCCAGTCATTTTTTTTTGGGGGGGGGTAATAGAGTGTATGTGTTTTCCTTCTTTGAATTGTGCTAGTGAAGAGTCGCTAGATGTCAACATTGTAGTCAGTGTTGGCAATGTTGGATTCCTTGGGATGTAATTTTCCTTCTAATATTCTCTGTAAGGCTGGATTAGTAGTTACGTATTGTTTAAATTTGTTTTTATCCTGGAATATTTTGTTTTCTCCGTTGATAGTGAACGAAAGCTTGGCTGGGTAAAGTAGTCTGGGCTTGCATCCATGGTCCCTTAATTTCTGCAGTACCTCTATCCAGGACCTTCTGGCTTTCATGGTTTCTATAGAGAAGTCTGGTGTAAGTCTGATAGGTTTACCTTTATAGGTTACTTGACCTTTTTCCTTTGCAGCTCTTAATATCCTTTCTTTAATCTGACTGCTTTGTGTTTGATTATTATATGGCGAGGGGATGTTTTTTTCTGATCCAGTCTATTCGGTGTTCTGTATGCTTCTTGCACCTTCATAGGAATATCCCTCTTTAGGATGGGAAAGTTTTCTTCTATAATTTTGTTGAATATATCTTCTGGACCTTTGATCTGCAATTCTTCTCCTTCTTCTACTCCTATTATTCTTAGATTTGGTTTTTTTATTATGTCCCATATTTCCTGAATGTTTTGTGATGAGAATTTGTTGGATTTGCTGTTTTCTTTGGTCAGGGCATTTATTTTCTCTATGGTGTCTTCATAATCTGAGATTCGTTCTTCTATCTCTTGTATTCTATTGGTTATGCTTGATTCTGTAGTTTCCGTTCGTTTACCTAGATTTTCCATATCCAGCTGGCCCTTGGTTTGTGTTTTCTTCACTGCCTCCATTTCAGTTTTCAATTCTTGAACTGATTCCATTACCTGTTTGATTGTTTTTTCTTGGTTTCCCAAGGTATCATTTACGAATTTACTCATTTCTTCAAACTTTTTGTTATATTTGTCTTCCATTTCTTTACTCATTTCTTCCATCTTTTTGTTATATTTCTCTTCTATTTCTTTAAGTGAGTTATTCATACCCTGTTTAAGAGACTCTATTGCTTTCATAATGACACTGTTTTCCACTTCTTCCAGAATAGGGCGTTCAAGTCCTTCTGTTGTAAGATCGCTGGGATCTGGTGTTTTCATGTTGTTTTTCAGATTGTTGGAGGAATTCTTGCCTTGGCGCCTGCCCATCTCTTCCTTCAGATGCTCTCCAATGGCTCTTCCCTCCGCTGGGTCTTCTTCTACTGGATTAGTGCCCCTTGCTATCCAGGCATCACTTTGCCTGCAGCCTTAGCTTGCTGCAGGCAGGCTATTAGAACAAAGGGACTTCCTTCCCTTTGCACTCACCACCTGTCCCGACCCGCGGTGCCCACCCCGGCTGAGATGGAGGAATTTAAGCCCCGAAAAAGGGAGAGGGGAGGGGAGGGGTTCCAGGCCGAAAGCTGGGATGGCGTAGCAGGAGAGAGGGATTAGCTGGGGGAAGCTGCCCCTTTGGAGTAGCCAGGGAGATAAGGATGGCGGGAATATTGTGTGTTCCCTAACTGGACTTGTATGGCGGTCAACACACTTACCCCTCCACAGGATCAGAGCCCCTCGCTGGTCAGAAGACTCCCTGCCTGCAGTCTTAGCAACATTTGTTATTATAATCAGTTCTATAGTGATACATTACCACTTCTAAGATTTTACTTTTTAAAAGATAATTTTTTTAAAAAAAATGAGACAGGGTTTCTCTGTGTAGCTTTGGAGCCTGAGCTGAAACTCATTCTGTAGACCGGGCTGGCCTCAAACTCAGAGACTAGCTTGCCTCTGCCTCCTAAGTGCTAAGATTAAAGGTGTGTGTTACCACCGCCCGGTGATAAATTATATTATCTAAGTCAGCATTATTGAAAACATTCTATATATAACAAACTGATACCACAAAATATATGCAGCATGACTTTTGATAAATGTATCCATCTACATAACCTATATTCCGATTAAACTGTAGGAAGTTTCTGTCATCTCAGCAAGCCTCCAAATGCTCAGAACAATGGCACTGTAGCCCTGGCACTCAGGAGGCAGAGGCGGGATCCAGAGTTTGAGGTTAGCTGTGTTATCTGGTGAGTCTGAGCCCAGCTTCAGCCATAGAGCGCCTCCTCCCTGCCCAGAACGTTACCTCATGTCCGTTGCAGCTAACATCAGCTAACATCAGCCCTATCTCTGCTCTGTGTCTGTTTCTATAGGAATTTCATATGTGAGGAATTATATAATAGCATAGCGTTTTCTGAGTCTGGCTTCTTCTACATGATATGTTTTAAAAATACATCTATGCTGACATCTTTATAAGTAGCTAATTTCTTTTTATTGCTTATTGACATTTCTTTGTATAGATGTACCACAATTTACTTATTCATTCATTTGATAAGTTTATAGATTATTTCTAATTTGCTATCACAAATGTTAACATTATATTATTATATTAAATTATTATGTTATTATATTATTAAATTAAATTACATTTTTAAGTTGAATTAAGCAGATATTATGTTATTAATACTACATTAATACAAATATTACTATTACTATGAATCTTTGGAGAGACATATTTTTATGTCTCTTGGGGAAGAATCTCACACATTTCTTCTGTTTCTAGTGTTGTGATAAAATACCATGATCAAAGATAGTGTGGGAAGGGAAGCGTTTATTTCAACTCACAAAGCTCAGGACACAGACATCACCAAGGGGCAGGAACTCAGGACAGGAACTCTGGATGCAGAAACTGAAGCAGAAGGCATGGATGAACCCTGACTACTGGCTTGTGTCTCCTTTCTTTCTCAGTTTGTTTTCTTCTATACCCCAGGACCACCTGCCCAGGCATGGTGCCATCCGCAGTGGGCCAGGGCCTCCCACAACAATCACTTATCAAGAAAATGTCCCCAAGGACTTGCCTATGGCCCAATCTAATGAACACATTTTCTCTACTGATGTACCTTGTTACCAGATGAGCCTGGCTTGTGTCAAATGGCAGAACAAACCAACCCCAAAACAAAAGCCCTAACCAGCACGATAAGCAAACCCTCAATTGTTTTTCATGGTGATTGCATCATTTTACATGGCATCATTTGTGTGGAGAGTTCTGTATAGACCCTGGATCTCACTTCGGTCATCTGTTGGATCCTAGCTTGAATTTGCATCTCCACGACCAATGATGGTGAGCATCTGTCGTAACCTTTGACCATTGCTCTAGCTTATGAACCTGTCTAACTGTGCTGCTGTGTGGTTTGAATGAGAACGGCCCCTAGAGGCTCAAATGTTTGATGTTTGGTTCCCAGTTAGTGAACTGTTTAGGAAGGATTAGAAGGTGTGGCCTCGTTGGAGGAGGTGTGTCACTGGGGCTGGGCTCCGGGGTTTATAATAGGTCCATGCCAGGCACAGCACAGGCTCTCTCTCTCTCTCTCTCTCTCTCCCTGCTGCCTTCGGATTACGGTGTAAAGCTCTCAGCTACTGCTCCAGTGCTATGCCTGTCTGCTTCCTGCCATGATAGTCATGGACTAACCTGAAGTTGTAAACAAGTCCACAACTAAATCCTTTCTCTTATAAGAGTCGCCTTGGTCATGGAGTCTCTCCACAGCAATAGAACAGTAACAAAGACAGTTGCCAAATTAAAGAAGTAGGTTGCTTTTCATAAATTTCAAATATGAGTCATTTGGCAGATGTATTCATTGCAAATATTTTATCCCAGACTAGGGACTGCCTTTCTACTTAATTGATTTATTTCTGTATGTGCAAGTATGTGTATATACATGTATACATGCATGTTGACAGTGGCTGCTTGTTCATTCCCAACCACCAAGACCCGAAATAATCACATAGAAACTGTATTATTACAATACTGCTTGGCCTACTAGCTTACACTTCTTATTGGCTAGCTCTTATATCTTAAAGTAATCCATTTCTAATAATCTGTGTATCACCCTGTGGCTGTGGAATAGCAGCAAGTTTCCGTCCCATCTCCAGTGTCTGTCTCCAGCAGTGGCTACATGGCTTCTCTCTTTGACTCTACCTTCTTTCTTCCAGTATTCAGTTTAGTTTTCCCTCCTAGCTCTATTCTGCCCTGTCATTGGCCCAAGAGCTTTTTTATTCATTAATCAATAAAAGCAACACATAGACAGAAGGACTTCCCACATCTCTCCTTTTCTGTCTAAATAAAAAGAAAGGTTTTAATTTTAACATAGTAAAATTACATATGCGAAACAGTTATCAAGCAAGAATTACAGTTACAATATTTATATCTACTTTATCTTTTATCATAACTAAGGAAAACTATAATTATAACTATCTATTCTTCAATTCCATCAAAGACTCCAGAAGGCTATACTATTACCTAAGTAAACAGGAAATGTATTGTAAGCAACTTCCAAACTCTAGAATTGACAGAGACATCTCGCTGCCTGGACAGTCACCCGAAGTTCTTCTGTAATGTTGGGGCTCCATCTTCAGCCTACAGGCCCACAGTATCCAGCAGACTTTTCCATGAAGCAGGAAATTTCAAAGACAGTTCCGCCTATATTGGCAGTTTGTCAGTCAGTTTGTCTTCTGTGTCCTTCAAAATATCTGGCAGTTCTTTCATGAAGCAGGAATGCTGAAGGACGATCTCATGTTCTTCAGGCAACTTCAGCAGTCATTTTTCTGTGGATCCTACATGTCCAGTTCCTACAGTATAATATCAAGCAGTCCAGGCAAGAGCAATTTCTTGCCCAAATGGCTAACCAACTCCATAAGGAGCCTCTTTGATGAGGTGCTGCCAGGAGCAGATGTGTCTCATTGTCATGAAAAGTCCTAAGTTTTTAAAACATTTTAAATGCCATATTCTGTAGTCTTTGGAAGGTTTTAAGAATACCTATCTAACTGAAATATATCTCTATATATCTAGAAAACCTAACTAACTTAACTACAAGCTTGACTAAAATAGATGATTATCTATTAATCTATATTTCTTAATTACACATTACATTTTAAAATGAGCTCCACAAACACAATACCTTAATCAAGAGCAGAAATACACATATAGCAAAATTGACCTTAAATTTGTATCAATGAACCAAGATCCATACCAATGCAAAGTATCCATTTCTATAGCGCATCCCACTTTAAATGTAAACAAACATTTATAAACAATTATTGGGTGAATTTGGGTGTTGTTTTCTCCAAACTACTTTCTGTTTTTTGTTGGGCAAAGTAATTTTGGGTGTTCATGGTGACTTTTGGTGGTGGTGGGGGTCTTGGTCCATCAAACCACAGTAGTCTGGAAGGAATCCACAGGTTCTCATCCTCTGTGGAAACAAAAACAGAACCTCTTTTCCAAAGCAACATATCCTTAGACCCAAATATTTTTATGTCAAGATACCTTTAAAATATATGTGTTGGTTTAGCTTAGCAGCTCATACAATGAAATGCCTCTCTGTACTTAGCTCCTTCACAGTCAAAATATTCAAAGAAAAAACAGTAATATACATAATCCAGACTCTGTGCATTTTCCATCTTTATGTGGTTTATTTTTCTTTACTTCTTGCAAGTAAAGTTTTTTTTTCTCTTAAAAAAAACTTTTACTTCTATTAATAATTATTTCTTTTCTTTCCCAAGCCTATGTCCATTTATCCAGCACTGTGACCTATTTAGAGGTCTTTTCCATCTGAATCTGTCTTTATTGCATTTCTGTAATCATTTTTGACCAGGAGGACTTTTTTTGTTTTGTTTTTCAAATGTTAAGTGGGCGTGTCTAGGGCCAACTCTGCCACCCTGCCTGTTGTCTCTGCCCAGTCCAACATGGCAGAGGCATGTGTTCTGCCTTTGAAAGCCCTGTACGCTGCCCTAGCTCCAGGGTCACAGCGGGTCTGTCTCCATTAAGCAAGTAGTAGCATGCTGCTCACAAAACCTGTTTAAGTGCTCAGTCTCCTGAAAGAGTCAGAGTTAGTGCTGGCAGCATGAACCAGGAAGCTGTCGTTTCTTATGCTGAGTCAGTAAGCCTTCTCTTAAAGGAGCCACGGCATGCCTGCTTACGGCCAGCAAACAGAGGCCATCTGAAAAATAAATGCCAGCTACCAAGAAGCCATGCTTAACTCTGTTCTTTTGTGTCTAGAATTCCTTTCCAAGCTTTCTCAGGATGTAGTTACCCATGTTGGCACCAATTCTGTTGGCAGAGGCTGCTCATTCATTCCTGGCTGCCCAGACCCCAAATAACCACACAGAAATTGTATTATTACAATACTGCTTGGCCTAATAGCTTATGCTTCTTATTGGCTAGCTCTTATATCTTAAATTAGCCCATTACTATTAATCTGTGCATTGCCACGTAGTTGTGGTCTACCAGTAAGTTTTCATTCAGCATGTGGTGTCTGTCTCCTGTGGGGGCTACATGGCTTCTCTCTTTGACTCTGCCTTCTTTCTCCCAGCATTCAGTTCAGTTTTCCTGCCTAGCTCTATTCTGCCCTGTCATAGGCCTAAGCAGCTTCTGTATTCATTAACCACTAAAAGCAACACATATTCAGAAATACTTCCCACATCACACGTGTTTATGTTAGGCGGTCTGCTCAGTTGCTGTTTGCCTTTTTTGTTGCTGTTGTTGCAGCAGGGTTTCTCACTGAACCTGGAGCTCAGTGTTCAGCTAGGCTGGCCAGCCAGCAACCACCAGGGATCGTCTTGACTCTGCTTGCCTAACTTCTGGATCCCAGGCACACACTGTTGTCCCTGGATTTTCCTTGGTGCTGGGGGTTAAATCGATGTGCTCGTGTTTGTACGACCAGTGTTTTACCTGCTGAGCCGTCTCTCCCACCTTGGCCCCTTTTTCTCTTTAAAATGTCTCTTCCAAAGGGCAAAGGCTTTTAGTTTTAATAAAGTCCATGAATTGTTTTTTTGAGAGCGGGAGGAAGAGTGGGTAGTCCAGCTTTAGTGACGAGAACACATGGAACTTCAATCCCCTGAAAACGGTCGGCTGTGTGCTAGGCTATTCTGCTGGTTAACAGACCCTTTTCCTTTGGCCTTGGGTAACAGAATTTGCTGTGTTTCTGTGTCCTCAAGCAGTGACTCTGAGATTTAAGTGCTGTCTTAAATTCTCATTTTAAAAATATTCCTTTTTAGGGTTTTTTTTTCTGTATATGAATGTCTTCCTTTGAGCATATTTGTGTGAATCAAAAGATGTCAAACTCCCTGCAGTGGATGGTTGTGAGCCACCATGTGGGTGCTGGGAGCCAAACTCTGGTCCTCTGGAACAGAGCAACATGTGCCCTTAACTTCACAGTCGTCCGTCCAGCCCCTAAATCTTAATTTTACAATGGGGTTTAATAGGGAAATATAGGGGAAAGGGAACACATCAGATCTCTACCGTCCATTTATATGGGGTTATTTTTTCTCCTCATTCTCCTCCTGTTCTTCTTCCGTTGTTTTTTTTTTTTTGTTTTTGTTTTTGTTGTTGTTGATGATGTTGTTTTTTGAGACAGGGTTTCTGTGTTCTGGTTGTCCTAGAACTCACTTTGTAGACCAGGCTTTCCTTGAACTCAGCAATTCTCCTACCTCTGCCTTCCTGAGTATTGGGATTAAAGGCATGTGCCACCACACCTGACTGGATTATTTTTCCTTAATTGACAGAAGCCTGTCTAAAATGCAAATGTAGTGTTCTCAAAAGAACACAGTCAGGTGAGTGTACCTGAACACAGACATATGTGTAAAACCCCTGTAAACACTGACGTCAAAAAGCCAGGAAGGGGGAAAAAAAGAAAGCGGTCAAAAGTCAGAATACTAATAATGAGAGTATTGACCCAGTTCTTCCTGATTCCTTCCTTTGGGAAATGGTACTGTTTTCTTCTCTTGTGCCATTGTAATTTGGTGTTTTGACTTTTACGGAAGCCACCAGAGCTGGCCTTTATGGCAATCGGATTCCTGAGCACTTCTGTCCTGGAAAATGATTCCAGGCTCATCAGGTTCTCCCATCCTGGCGGTGGCGTCAGCCTTCGTCCACTCCTGGCTGGGGCACCATCCCTGCGGGAGCGGAAGCTCCTGTTGATTTCACCCATTCCTCTAGGAGGGCTGGGGGGGCAGGGGGGCTGGGGGGAATCTACGAACTGTGATTCTTCTGAAATTATGTTTTGCTTTTTCTTAAAGAAAAGGTCCCTTCCCTGCCTCCATCTCTACTTTGTAACCTGGCTGATAACAGGTCATCATTTTTATAGTACACTTTTTACAAACAGTTAAACCTGCTCCCATCCTTCTAGGGCCTAGATCTGCTTATATGGTAGGACAAGCAAAGCCACTGCTGTGACGGAGGCCAACTAATTGTGGGATTCTGCCTGGCTTCAAGGAGCTGGAGTTTAGCAACTTTCTTGTCTTGACAGAGTAATGTAAAATTAAAGCGGGAAAGATATTAAATATTTAATATTAGGCTCTTAGAGAAACCTGTGTCACCTTTAGTGGCGCACACCTTTAGTCCCAACATTCAGGAGGCAGAGGCAGATGTATCTGTGTGAGTTCAAGGCCAACCTGGTCTAGAAATAAAGTTCCAGGACAGCCAGGGCTACACAAAGAAACTCTGTCTCAAAAAACAAACAAAAACCAAAACGAAACAAGAGGAAGGAAGGAAGGAAGGAAGGAAGAAAAGAAGGAAGAGAAAGAAAGGCAAAACCTGCTACTATTGCTATGGGCTTTGATGCAAACACTATGATAACAAAAGAACAGACCAAAAATTCTTTTAAAAAAATTTTAATAAACAAAATAGAGACAACCAAAATTGGTGTAGGTTGGTTTTTCCTGGATCACCTAGTCTGACGATTTTCTGGGCAAACCTTACCTCTGAGCAAGCAAACCGCCCAGACATCACACAAACAACCCACATTAAAACCTGGAATTTTTTTTGAAACAGAACACCATGTCTGAAATCATGAAGGAGGTAATCTTCTTAGGACTTTGATTTGTAGGAAATCCATTAAAGTACCTCCCTTTGTTTTCCTCAGATTAAAGGTTAGAGAGATTTCAGTTGCAAAAGATAAATTGGCTAAAAGATGTCTCAGATTGTCTTTGGTTGAGAAATGCAAATCCTTTGTGTGTTTGCTGGGCTTAGCATTTACACAACATATTTCAAGTTTAAAAGCCCTTTGCTATCATTACTAATTACCTCCCAAGGGCTTCAGGGCCCTTAGAAGGAACACTGGAGCAGAGCCAGTACTCAGAGCTGTTAGAGGCTCGCGTGTCTGTACCAGCCTCGACCTAGCTCCTCACAGTTTCCCACCAATAACCCGCTGGGTTTGGTCACCTGCGGCTCCTCAGTTTCTATAAGATTTTCTTTTTCCAGACTCGACATTATCAAGTGCAAGTTACAGAAACACAAAATATCATTTCTTTCAACCGTCTTGCAAACAGTGGTACCCTGGTGACAGTTTTATGTTCACCATCAAGTCAGAATCTTTGGGGCACCAATGAGTACAGACACCTCTGAAAACGCACTGGAGGAACGCAGAGTGGAAAACCCACAGTCAACAGCGCAGGTTTTAGTAGCCAAGAGCCCTTTCCGCTGTATTTTCAGAGTCAGAGTATTTGACTGAATAAAACTTTCTAATTACAGGTGTCAGTAAACGTTGTAGCTTGTGTCAAATACATGTATATTCCGTCTTCGAGCATGTACGGTAAGTGTGCGCATGCGCATGGAAAATCAGAACAAAAGCTACCGTTTCCCCATCTTATTCTGTGTCTTAGGCTTTCAAATGTTTTGTTAACAAAGTAATTGCCAAGTTCCATGTGCGGTTTTGTATCTTGAACCTCAAACATGTCACCTTAACAGAGTTTGCATTGTTGCGTTTTTAAAAAAATAAGCTCGAAGAATGACGTCTGATGAAGTGAGGCAAATAGGGACTTTGATGTCTGTGACTGCACTCAAAGAGAAAGGCCCGCCGGTGGGGAACACAGCTCATCCTAGCCATTCTCTGCATGGGTGGGTTCCTCTGATTTGAGGGCATTGTAAAGCAGGACGAACACCTTCACTACGTTTGGTGTGGAGTGCCCTCTGCTGGCCACTCTAGGGTGGTGCATCTTTCTGTTCCTTGTAGGAAAGGTCTTTACAATTAGGTGTTGTATGTGCCTGTACTTACATTTCTAAGTCTGCCCTTAATGTACAATGAGGGATATAGGAACTGGTCCTGAGTCCTTTCTATTTATTCAACAAACATATTAGACAATGTCTCAAGGTGCCGAAAACATTGCTATGGAGCTGACAACAGCAAGAAGCAATCTTCACTTTCAGGGGTCTCAGTAGTGGACCCACAGCAAGTGGGGTGACCTCCTTAGCAAGACTTAGATATTACGGCAAATAAACCAATTCATTGGAGAGGCCTGCTCATCGATTATTTTTAATTTTTCAGTTTTATTTGTGTGTGTACGTGTCTGGTGTCTGTGCCCTTGTGTGTATGCAGAGACCCCAGAAGAGGACAGTCAGATCCCTCAGAGCTGGGGGTACAGGTGTTCATGGTCTGCCCAGACGTTTATGTGGGTGCTGGGAGCTGAACTTGGTCCTCACAGTTGTACAGCCTTTGCTCTTTCATACTGAGCCATGTCTCCAGCCCCGAGCCTTGTCTATGCTCACGGTCAGCTGGAGTTGACAGATGTCCCAGCCAATTTGCTCCCAATTTCCTGGTGAGAGCTGTGATGGACTGCCACATTAGGGAGACAAACATGAGGGTGGTCTCAAGCAGTAGGGTACCTTGGGAACTTCTCCCATTGTGGTGGTTTGAAAGAAAATGTCCCCCCCAAAGGGAATAGCACTATTGTGGTCTTGTTGGAGTAGGTATGATCTTGCTGGAGGAAGTGTGTCACTGTGGGGGTGGGCTTTGTGGTCTCATATATGCTCAAGATACCACCCAGTGTCTCAGTTCACTTCCTATTGCCTGCAAAATGTTGGACTCTCAGCTCCTTCTCCAACACCATGTCTGCCTGCATGCCGCCATATCCCACCATGATGAAAATGGACTGACCCTCTGAACTGTAAGCCACCACTTCAACTAAATGTTTTCCTTTATAAGAGTTGTAGTGGTCATAGTGCCCCTTCACAGCAATAGAAACCCTAAAATAGAGTCAAACAGCCACACCGGCCAGCCTTACAGCCAGGCAGTGGACACACACCTTTAATCCCACTAGCCACAGTAGCTGCCATAGAAACCGGGCAGCACATGCCTTTAATCCCAGCCCTAGAGAGGAATATAAAATGGGAGGAGACAACTCTCACACACAGTCTCATTCTGAGATTCCTGAGGCAGGAACGCCATTTCAGACTGAGACAGAGGAAAGGGTTGGTGGCTGGCTGTTTGACTTTTTGAATATTCAGGTTGAACCCCAATTTCAGTCTCTGAGCTTTTATTAATTGTGCTTCAGCTATTTCTGTGAGAGGCCTGACCCTGTTTTTTTTTTGTTTTTTTTTTTTTTTGGAGGAATGTGGACTTTGGGAGTTGGGGTTAGGAAAGCAGTTGAATGATTTAAGTCCTGCTTAATGGGCCATGCTAGTCAGGAGCATGGAAGACAGTGGTGCTGTGGTGCTGAGAGTGGTTTGAACTGTGGGGGCTGGCTGAAGAGGTTTCAGAGGAGAAGAATTTTAGTATGTTGTGTAGAAATCATTCTTGTGATATTTTGGTGAAGAATGAGGCTGTTTGTTTGTTGCCTTTGTCTGAAAAGTTTGCCTGAGGATAAAGTGAACAATTTGTATTAATTCCCTTAGCAGAGGAAATCTCAAAACAACCTAGTATAAACTATTGTGTGGTTATAATGTTAACTCTAATGCAGATATATAGTGAAAAGCAAGCTGACCAAGGAAAAATATTTGAGGAATAAAGGAGCACCAGAAAGTGGAGTGGAGCTAAATCCTGTGTTCAAGGAGATAAACAGATTAAGAAATGGAATTAAGGGAGTGGTGACCTCGGGGAAAGATCCCACCCAGCTACATTTCCAATTTGTGAAAAGGAATTAAAGAAGAGCTTAGAGCTGAGTGTGGTGGTGCAGGACTTTAATCCCAGCACTGAGAAGGCAGGCAGGTAGAAGAAAGGGGCTATGGAATCTGCCTCTGTGACTAAGGAAATCCGCTGAGGACAGGCATGTGTCAGGGGTTCCCTGAATGGAGGCCTAGGGAGGTCATTGTGGAAGCTGTGGAGTTGGATCCTGGATTGTCTTAGAAACCCCGAGATGTTGGAGAGACCAGAGCCATGTGATAACTGCCAAAGAGAGCAGCTAACGAGGAGTAGAAACCGCCCAAGAGAAAGAGGAGTGTTGCAGTCAGCAAAGCTGAAAGAAGCTAGAGATCTGAGGAGTGCTTTGACACCAGACACGGAGATGCAGTTTGGAGTCTGCCCGGCTGGTTTTCAGTCTTGCTTTGGTCCAGTATTTCTTACTATGCTCCTTTCCCTGTATTTTGGAATGGAAATGCATATCCTATGCCATTATATACTGGGAGTACGTGGTCTGCTTTTTGATTTTGATTTTACAGGGGATTATAGTTAAGAGATTGCATGAATCTCAGAAGAGACTTTGAATTTTGGACATGAAAACATTGTTGAGACTGTGATAGGCTATGGGGACTTTTGAAGTTGGACTGAATGCACTTTTGTACTATTATACAACTATAAGCTTTTGGGGGTCAGGGAGTGCTATGTGGTGGTTTGAAAGAAAATGGCCCTAAAAGGGAGTGGCACTATTAGGAGGTGTGGTCTTGTTGAAATAGGTTTGGTCTTGTTGGAGGAAATGTGTCACTGTGGGGACAGACTTTGAGGTCTCATATATGCTCAAGATACCACTCAGTGTCTCAGTTCACTTCCTGTTATCTGCAAAATGTAGGACTCTTAGCTCCTTCTCTAGCACCGTATCTTCCTGCATGCTGCAAGTCCCGCCTTGATGCTAATGGACTGAACCTCTGAAACTGTAAGATAGCCCCAATTACATGGCTTCCTGTATAAGAGTTGCAGTGGTCATGGCATCTCGTCACAGCAATAGAAAGCCTAGCCAATATTTCTACCCAGCTGCAATGACCATGATCCACAGTGATGGCCTGGAAACCCTAAAGATGCAATGGTAGCACTCATATCTTAGCGACCAGCGTCTGTCCAGTTGGAGTCTTTAGTCCAGTGAGCCCATTCCCTAGGAGGGAAGTCATGGCTGGTGCCATCTGAGGCAATGGACCATAGAGAACATATCACCACCACTACTGAACGGTTTTCAACTCATGCAATCCCTAACTCCAGTCTGCTTCTCTGTCTTCATAACCACAGATAGACGGAGTTCTCGCCCTGCATCAAACATGCTCACCTTCGCAACTGGAGACCACACAGAAAATCACAACTGGACAAATGCGGAGAACAAGTGATCGTGGGACATCTAATTTCACTGGGACATCTGTGCTATAATACCTCCACCTAAATAAAGCTCAGGGCACATTCGGGAAGAGGAGGGGCTGGAAAGCTGCTGTGGGAAATGACAGGGAAGCGCCACCTCAACAAGATGGCTGTCTAACCAGTACCTGAAGCAGTAGAACACTAGTAGACGTGTAAACACGAAAGGAGGACGTCTCACCGGACCCTCTCCATGGACAAGGCACTATGAAAAACTGGGGGATGCCGGGATTGAGAGAAATAGTCTTCCCGGGGGGAAGAGGCCATGATTTTGGGAGGGAGCCAGGAGGAGTACATGGGAGTGATTGGCAAGGAGAAAGGGGACAGGAAAAATGATGTAATTCCAGATATAGTTTAAAGATTTATTTACTTTATGTATACGAGTGCTCTATCTGCATGTACAACTTTATGCTGGAAGAGGGCACCAGATCCCACTATGCATGGTTGTGAACCACCGTGAGGTTGCTGGGAATTGGACTCAGGTCTTCTGGAAGAATAGCCAGGGCTCTTAACTGCTGAGCCATCTCTCCAGTCCTGATGTAAGTGTATTCTAATTTAAAAAGTTCCTTGTATATAACAGCTGATCCGCAGAACACAGTAGAAATGCACTTGGTGATGATGAACACCTGAGTGTGGGCTCGAGGGCCAGGCTGACTGCGTTTGACTCTTTGCCCTGTGCTTTGTTGGCTGGGTATCTTGTGCAGGAAGGTTACCTCATTGATAAACTGGGGGTGATGGAAGTACACACATCATAGGCAGATAGTACATGAAAAGTGCTTTTAATACTTATTTAGGGTGTAACAAAATTAATTACTTTGTTATCATTCCTTCCAACTTTTGGAGACTCCTGCATCCTTTTAAAGTCCTATATTAACATGAGGGAGAAGCTTCAAGTAAGTCTTAGGTATAAAACACATTTCCGTCAGGCTGGAGAGATGGGTCAGCCGGTGAGAGTACTCAGGACTCTTCCAAAGGACTCAGGCTTCGTTGCCAATGCCAGCATCATATGGCTCATAAAGTTAAAGTCATATCTTTAACTCTAGTTTTGGGGATCCAATGTCCTCTAGTCTTTGTAAGAAGATTTGGTAAATGCTCCTCAGCATTCGTGGTGACAAGTAGGCCATCTAAGGGAAAAAGTATGAAGAAGGTGCCAGGCAGGGTTATAGCATACTCATAAGAGGTAACAGGAATCCTACTGTGGAATTGTGCACGTGGGATTCTGACCAAGACTTCCGGGAGATGTTTAGAGAGAGGCCATGATCTATAGTGAACTTGAAGAGCAGAAGAGGAAGGGAAGGAGACAGATGAAGGGTCAAAGGTGTCGCCACAGGAGAAGGCTGGTTTGCTCACAGGCGCGGCAGCTGTTCCGAGTGTTGCCGTGGAGGCAGAGGCTGGAAGCAGAGGGACAGAGGACTCTGAACATCTCGGGTTCAAGGCTGTAGCTTCTCTGATGTAATTCCCCTCAGAACAGGTCCTAGATGTAACCTCTCGTTTCCTCCTCGTCCCTGTAGCCTCTGCTTGACTTCAACCCCCACCTCCTTTGTGCCTCTGTGCATAAAAAGTCCAGCCCCCATTTCTTTTTAATAGACTTGCTGCTCTGTAACTCATTAACCTGTTATCTGCTGTAAAATATACAGAAGATAAAATGGCATATGGCTTTGTGCAAAGGATTGGGCCCTTAATTATTGAGCCTAATAGAGAGGGAGCCTACCTGAACCCTAGGAGGCAAGGAATAATGCCATAAGATGCAGGGCTCAGAATTTGTTGAATAAATAATAATAAATAAATAATAATGTAGGAATGACCGAGGACTTCTTGTGGAGTGCAGGGTGTGGTGGTTTGAATGAGGGTGCCCCCCAGGCACGTTTGTTTGAATGTTTAGCTCCCAATTGGACTGTTTAGGAGGGAAAACGGGGTGTGGTCTTGTAGGAGGAGGTATGACCTGGGGGTGGGCTTTGAGGTTTCAAAACTCAGAACAGGCCCAGTTTCTGTGCTTTTTGCTTGTGGATCAGATTTAAGCCCTCAGCTACTGCTCCAGCAACATACTCCCTGCCATGCTGCTGCCAAACTCCCCACCATGATGGCCATGGATCCTCTTTCTGAAACCAAGTAAACCCTCAATTAAATGATTTTTAAAATAAGTTGCCATGGTCATGCTGTCTCTTTACAGCAAATGGAAAAGTAACTAAGACACCAGGTGTGATTCCATATGGCCAGCTGTCTAAGTAAAGCTTCCTGGCTGAGAAAGAGGGGATGGGAGAAGAGATATGGATATATTGCCCAAAGTACAAGTCTCAGACTGCGCTTAGTAGCTCCTCATCTCGCCATTTTCTCTTCCAGGGGAAGGAAGGAAAGGTGAGGGGAAGGAGGTGATATAGACAGACAGACAGACACACACGAGATAGATAGATAGATAGAGAGAGAGAGAGAGAGAGAGAGAGAGAGAGAGAGAAGACAGTGATCAAATGTTCATCACTTTTCAGCCATACTAAGGTCTTAGGACCTCAGGTTACAAAATCTTCTTTCGGCAGAAGGTAAATTGGGAGAAAGATGATAATAAGAGAAGCATTAGAAACGTCGAGGGAGAGTTGAGTTTTGCTCAGGAAACACATGCGCTTGACACCAAGGGTGTAAAGACCTTATAATTGCAAAAGATTTGAATGAAGAGGGCATGAAGCCACATTAGTTACTGCAGGGAGACAGCGCTGTAAGGCCTTGCTCCTTACAGTGTGGTTTTCTAGCTGCTGCTGCTTCTGGAGGTTTGTTAGAACGGACATTCCCAGCCTCCAGCCAGCAGGCCTGACTGTGAACCTGTTTTAATAACTTCGGATCGTGTTCAAAGGAAGGCTTGAGAAGTACAAGTCTGGAACACAGGAATGAGGTCTGGGAATGTATTCTACAAAAGGAAATTCTGAGTTCTGTTTTGGGGATGCATCAGACGGCAGATGGTTCCCAGTCGAGGAACTAATACAAAGTCAGGAACCATGAAAAAGAACAGGGACATTTGGGGAAGTAGAGTCAGAAACATAACCAACATGGGGAGAGCAGGCTGGAGAGATGGCTCGGTGGTTTAGAGTGCTTGCTGCTCTTCCAGAGACTGCTAGTTCTGATGTACCCATGTCCTGCAGCTCACAGCCACCTGTAATCCCGGGACAGGGGATCTGGTGCCCTCTTCTGGCCTCCAAGGCCGCTTGCACCCATTTGCACTTACACACAGACAATGCATATTCATAATGTAAGAAGTTTTTATAAAGAAGAGAGCCGAGAGGGAGGAGGACAGAAAGATGAGGGAGGGAGGAGAGGGAATTATAGGAAGAGGTCAGCAGTAGCTCCCATCTTCTGTTTGCGCTCTATGTTAGGCAGCTTTGACCATATCTACGCCATGCCTTCGTTGTGGGAATGGCATGTTCAGATTTGCATTTGGATCACTTCAGCCTGAGGAGGCTGAGAACAGGTGAGGCTGAAGGGCAGAGAAATTAATTAGGGAGTAGATGCAAGAGTTTCGCAGAGACATAAGGAGCGTCTCAACTCAGGCAGTGGCAGTGGGAGTGGAAAGGATGGGACAGACAAGACGTTTTAGGGGGTAATAAGCAGATGAAAAGGCTCAGTATGTGGACTGGAAGTGGGAGGCTGGAGGAGTGGTGAGGCTTGAGTGGATGACGTTCACCCTTCTAGCTGGGATTAGTGGGTGGCTTACGGTGTCATGAACAGATGTAAGGATACCGGAGGATAAACAGGTTTGAGAAGGGAAATTGGGGATTCAGTTCTCAACATGTTCAACCCAGGTGAACAGAAAACATGTGTAGGAGGGAAAAGGGGGGGGGATCAAGAGACGGGTGGAGAACAAGATGAGTCAATGAGGGTGGAGAAGGAACATGGTGAGGAGGAAACAATGGCTCGCTCAGATTTGGGGCTACTGTCATACACCTTGTTGGTCTTCCGGTTTTATTTTCTGCTTCCCCAGAACTTGGTTTGGCAGGTGAATTTCCGGCTTCCTATCGAGTAACCAGATCGTTGTCACTACTCTTTGCTCTGCGACAATAAATAAATAAATAAATAAATAAATAAATAAAAACTGTGGTTCAAGTCACATCTAATAGTGTTCACCATATTGTTCCTGAGTGTATGCCTTTGCTTTTGTCCCCAACACGAATTCCAGAGCGGAATAATCCAGCCCCTCCTTCGTGTGTGTGTGTGTGTGTGTGTGTGTGTGTGTGTGTGATCCTTCGAACTGTGGACTACTTTCTTCCTGCCAGATCTTTCCCATCTGCCAATTTTCGCAGTTGTTCTACTTACACCTTAGAACCCGGCAGTGGCTAACAGCCTGTCTTGGGTTCGTCTTATGATTGTTTCGTATTTAGCAGCCTGTGTTCCTCTGCACGCCCCAGTCTTCCGTGTCTCCAAGGACGGAACTTCGTGAGTACTTAAAATTTTTTCCTCCCGGGGTCGTTTTTAGCCAAGAAGCCAAAGGTCGCTATTGTGATTGGCTTAGTCCGTGCAAAAGGAAGGTAGTCCCTTCTGGAACCCCGCCGCTCTTGCCAGGCTCAAACATGGCCGGCCACCCGGAGCCCTTCCAGAACACTCCACGCACGCCAGCCTTCCGCGGTTCCTTCCCACCTTCCATCCGCCTCGCTCCACCGGGGTCACTACCCG